GAAAGTGAATATCGTTGGTGCATTGGGGAGGTCAAAATTTAAATTTCCCAGTAGTTTTCAAGAGCGCCGGGAAAAACAAAAGAAAAATTAAGGAAAAACGGGAATTTTTACGCAAAATCGATTTTTCAGAAAATTGAATTTGGTTTTTGGTGTAACTTTAAAACAAATGACCGTAGGCACATGCAATTTTCACTGGTTGTTTATATTTGCATCTTCTATACACGATAACATTTTCAAAATATTTTGATTTATTTTGAACAGTTTAGGGACATTTTCATTTTTAGTTTTTTTTTAGTATTTTTTCTAGAAATATCAATAAAATTTTATTTGTTGGTTGCGAAAGCTTGAAAATTTAATAGAAGGTTCCTAATATATTGTTTCAAAGGCAGATGAAAAATATTAAAAATCCTTAGTCACAATTTTTTTTTATAAGCATTTAAAGTTCAAAAATTGACAAAATATGGAAAAATCGCGAAAATTAGCAAATTATTTTGAGTTAAGAATTCGTAAAAATTTTTCTTTTCAAATCTAAGATTTGAAAATCTAATACAAGATTACTCATAAGATTGTCTACCTTTATCAATAAAAAAATCTCTACAGGAAAGTCAAATTAAATTTTTATGAGAGTTTGAAATTCAAATTTTTACAACATTGGATATTCACTCGATTTCTCATGTGGCAATTTCCTTTTTTTGTTGTAATTAAAAAACGAATTACTGTAGATACATGAAAATTTCACTGAATGTTTATATTAGCATTTCCTATACACCATACAATTTTGAAAATATTTTGACTCTTTTTGAGCCGTTTACGGACATTTTTGGTTTCAATTTTTTTAGTTTTTTTTTTCTATAAATATCAATTAAGTTTTATCTGTTGGGCCAAAAAGTGTAAAAATTTAATACAAGGCTCCTGATATATTGTTACAATATCAGTTGAAAAATATTAAAAATACATAGGCACAATTTTTTTTTATAAGCATTTTAACATCGAATTTTGACAGAATTTTTCAAAATCTCGAAAATTATTAATCATCGTAATTAATAAATTATAAAATGTTCAGTTTTTATAGTTAAGGATTGAAAATTTAAAACAAGATTCCACGTAAGTAGTTAATTCTCTTACCGAAAAATCTAAAAAATATACAATCACAGTTTATTTTTATAGTCATTTTATGTTCAAATTTGGTCGAAATTACATATTAAAAAACCTAGTTATTTTGTTGTGATTATATAATATTATTCGTGGGTACCTACTTGAAACTTCTAAAGTGTACTATTATATATTATATATGATAGTATCAGGGTTTGTTGTTAGTGTATAACTTGTTATAAGTACCTAATGGATATTGTGATAATGTGATATGATTAATTTGGAATTTATTATAGGTCAATTTTTTTTAATACCATAGATATGTATATAATTTGTCTTAACCTAGACTGACATACCGTCTTCGCTCAGAATCGTTTTTCTTATACAATGATATTTTATCATTGAATTCAAATTTAATAGCATCAATTTTACAGTGACCCACTTGTAACCTACTGTACAGCAGAGCGACATCCACTTACCCACCTTTTTATTTTATTTTTTTTGTATCTGTGTACACGATAAGTAGTCGAAATAATGCTTCGATTTTCGACTTCAGTATCTTGTTCGATTGGAAAGTGAATATCGTTGGTGCATTGGGGAGGTCAAAATTTAAATTTCCCAGTAGTTTTCACAAGCGCCGGGAAAAACAACATAAAAATTAAGGAAAAACGGGAATTTTTACGCAAAATTGATTTTCCAAAAAATCGATTTTGGTTATTGGTGTAACTCTAAAACAAATGAACTATATACATAAAATTTTCACTGGTTGTTTATATTTGCATTTTCTATACACGATAACATTTTAAAAATATTTTGATTTATTTTGAACTGTTTAGGGACATTTTCATTTTCCATTTTTTTTTAGTTTTTTTTCTAAAAATTTCAATAAAATTTTATTTGTTGGTTGCGAAAGCTTGAAAATTTAATAGAAGGCTCCTAATATGTTGTTTCAAAGGCAGATGAAAAATATTAAAAATCCTTAGTCACAATTTTTTTTTATAAGCATTTAAAGTTCAAAAATTGACAAAATATGGAAAAATCACGAAAATTAGCAAATTATTTTGAGTTAAGAATTCGTAAAAATTTTTCTTTTTAAATCTAAGATTTGAAAATCTAATACAAGATTACTCATAAGATTGTCTACCTTTATCAATAAAAAAATTTCTACCGGAAAGTCAAATTAAATTTTTATGAGCGTTTGAAATTCAAATTTTTACAACATTGGATATTCACTCGATTTCTCATGTGGCAATTTCCTTTTTTTGTTGTAATTAAAAAACGAATTACTGTAGATACATGAAAATTTCACTGAATGTTTATATTAGCATTTCCTATACACCCTACAATTTTGAAAATATTTTGACACTTTTTGAGCCGTTTACGGACATTTTCAGTTTTCAATTTTTTTAGTTTTTTTTTTCTATAAATATCAATTAAGTTTTATCTGTTGGGCCAAAAAGTGTAAAAATTTAATACAAGGCTCCTGATATATTGTTACAATATCAGTTGAAAAATATTAAAAATACATAGGCACAATTTTTTTTTATAAGCATTTTAACATCGAATTTTGATAGAATTTTTCAAAATCTCGAAAATTATTAATCATCGTAATTAATAAATTATAAAATGTTCAGTTTTTATAGCTAAGGATTGAAAATTTAAAACAAGATTCCACGTAAGTAGTTAATTCTCTTACCGAAAAATCTAAAAAATATACAATCACAGTTTACTTTTATAGTCATTTTATGTTCAAATTTGGACGAAATTACATATTAAAAAACCTAGTTATTTTGTTGTGATTATATAATATTATTCGTGGGGTACTTGAAACTTCTAAAGTGTACTATTATATATATATGATAGTATCAGGGTTTGTTGTTGGTGTATAACGTGTTATAAGTACCTAATGGATATTGTGATATGATTAATTTGGAATTTATTTTAGGTCAATTTTTTTTTTAATACCATAGATATGTATATAATTTGTCTTAAACCTAGACTGATATACCGTCTTCGCTCAGAATCGTTTTTCTTATACAATGATATTGAATCATTGAATTCAAATTTAATAGCATCCATTATACAGTGGCCCACTTGTAACCTACTGTACAGCAGAGCGACATCCACTTACCCACCTTTTTTAAATAATGTATTCGAAAATTATTAATAGGACAACACCTATGTTTCATGGAGCGCAATCGTGTTTCACCGATTTTGTTATATATAAATATTACATATAGCCATTGTACCTTATTATAATAGATATATATTGAGGTAATGAGATTATGTTATAGACGTTATGGTTAATCCATCCAATATTTATTTTAGTATATTTGAAAATAATATTTTGTTTAAAACAGCGATTAATTTATGAATGCTAAAATTTAATATTACGATATATATATCAGACGTATTTACAAGACAATAAAAACGGTGATTTATCAATTGTATTTTAAGAAAACCGATAATGTGCCGTATAGTATAGATAGCTTCATAATGCTTCATCATACTCTGTTTGTTTTTTACTTTTAAATTTGAGTGAGCATGAATTTAACTCCTATTTACATGTTTAAACGACTGTAAAAATATGAAATTTTTAAGAGAACATAACTTTAGTCGATAAGTCATGTAAATGTTGAGGAGTTCAAAGTTGCAGACACATATTATGGTATAATAAATCAGTACTAGGTGTATTAGGTATATGTGCATAACAATTTATTTGTACTCCATGACCTTCGAGTAACACTTTACACGTTATAGAAGAGCCGTTATCGAATATTTGTTGATGAATTTAGTGCATAACACTTATAATAGGTGTATCAATATAGTAAAATACATTATACTTCTCAATACGTTTTTATGATTACACTATAACTATAATAATTACTGATATGTCCCTTTTTTTTATTAGAATCAAATTATTCTACTATATTTTCTTGTAACAAAAAATTTAATGTACACTGGACGTTTGATATAACTTCTTAATAATTATTTAATACCTAACCGTTTGTTGAAAGTATATCCTATAAACACGCCGAGTGTTTTAGATTATTGTTTTTCTTCGATCATTTAATCATTTCTTTGTTTTTGAATCGTTTTCTTTTTATTTTAAAACACATTATTTCAGTTTCTCGAAACAAAGTTTGATGATTTTTTTTTTTTTTTTTTGAATCGTTTGTGAATTATGGATCATATATTTTAGCGTATGACAACTGTCGCAAACCCTCTTTTCCATTTTGTTTCAAAACGAAGAGAGGGGGCAATTCCGGCCTTATGCTACTGTTCGATTCCTCGTTTCATAAGTTTGGCATTTCCAATTTAAAATTTCATATCGTTTTCCATTTGGCTATATAGGTAGAACTGCCTTGTCAAAAATACCTTTGTATTCATTGAAGGATCACTTTTATATTTTTATGCGAAAAAGTGTATACGAAGCAATTGCATAGAAGAAAAAGTACCACACGAGGGAATATTCGAAACATAAACACAAACCATTCGAGAGCCTAGAAATTAAAATATGTTTATGCGATATGATTTACGACGTAAATAATATGTGTTTTCGATTAAATTTATATTTGTACAAAAAAAGTTTACATAATATATTATGGTGTACAGAGAAAAAATATCAAATAAATTAGCTCCGTATAACATGTATCATATTATTGTATCAGCCAATATGCATCATGTTATACGAAATATTATAGCATGTACAATAAATTATTTTAAAATGTATACATGGATTTATAATTACACATTCATTACAATACTATAATACAAACGTCAAAAACAATTAGGTATATAAATAAATAATAAAATAAACTATGCGAATAATAATAACAATAATAAAAATAATATTATGATGAGAAGGGTATAAAATTATTATCATTATTATTATTACTAAAGTATTATTATTGAGAAACGTCTACGATGCCGGCCATCACTAAGAGTTCGATTGAACAGAAATTGTAACCTCTGAGGATTTTGAAAAGTCCATCGTTTCCCCAGTTCGAATTCCACGAATTCATCGCCAACCAGTATTCAGTGCCGTCTCCGTCGACGCCCCATCCGATCAACTTGACATGATGGTATCCTATAAGTTCACCGGATGTAGACTTGTAAATTCCTGTAAGTATTGCAAACGCACAACGTTATAGTAATTTGCACGAGCGGACTTATACTGGTCTTAGATTTTACAACACTAGGACATTAATGTCAATGATGCAGTGTTACAATAATTTGGGACGAGAATTATATTATTCACTAAAAACTAAAATTAAAATCAAATTTTGTTAATTTTTCCATTATACTTATACGTATTAGTATTACTTTCAAAAGATTTAGAAATATGAATTGTGATCATTGATATTTCAAATATAAGCTTAGATTCAAATGTATAGTACATATTTATTACTTAATTGATACAAATAATAGATTATGCAAATTCATAAAATTTAGGGCCCTAGTTATAATAAGAGTACCAACCTTCTTTATAGCCCATAAAATTCTCGTACACGTACATGAATGCAGTTACAGGGCCGTAGGTCATGATCTCCTGTTGAATTTGTTTGACGTTCGTCCACGAAGTCATGTAAACGATCGAAGCTTCAAACAAAAAAATAATACATTAATAAATTATTTGCATGTGGTGTTGTACTTAGGCACTTTTAAACATCACGGAACTTGATTATTAAGTTCCGTTCTGCCTATATAAGAGTTTTAGAGGCAACATATATACAAAAGTGTTCACGCATATATAATTGAAATTGCGAAAGTTAATAATATTAAAATATAATTACTTTTATGTAAATCGTCTTCGTATTTAACTTTATAGTTTTTGTTAACACACTTTTCTCTGCAAACCGTCATTTGCGTTCTACGGTGACTCGAACAATTTGTCAGGCTGCTGTCACCATAATGATCACAGGGTCTGTTTTTATACGGTTGGCAACCCTGTAAAAAAAAAAAAAATTGGAAATCAATATATTATTATGATATTATTATAAGTTATATAATATTATTTTACTTTAATTTACTTGATTAAATTAGGTTCATGGTAAATTAGTATTATTAATTTGTCGTATATATTATTATATGTACCTCATTGGAATCGAAGTTACCACCAGTCACTATTCCTTTGCTCATGGTAAGTTGCCAAGCTTTAAACGCCGAACCACCGTCACAACCCATTTTTTCTTCATCGCCGCAAGACATTAGGTTTTGTGCGGACAAGTTGTCGGTAAATTGTCCATTGCTCGCTATACAAAGCCGGTCAGTGAATGTCGAAGCTACTGCTACCGCCTTAAACACCCATAGACCGAACGATAAGTATAGATTGGTACCTTATGGGATTGAGACCTAAAATATTTTTTCCTATTTCGATTTTGGTTCCGGTTATCGGTATTTATTTTTTCCTATTTTGATTTTAGTTTCGGATATCTGTATTTATTTTTTTCCATTTTCGATTTTGGTTTTGATTACTGGTATTAATTTTTATAGATTTCTTTTCCAGTTTTGATATTGATTTCCGTTTTTAACGGGGTTCAAAATCGGTGTCCAACATCGGTTTCAAGCCCTGCTTATAGCTTATATTTTACAGTTATAATGGGTTCTATAGTGTAATCGCACGGAAGTCATAATAATAATATTATAGACTTTTATTTAGAACAAATATTTTATTTCCATTTTAAATAGTACGATAGTAATAATATTAACACTATTGATTTACCCAGCTGGAAGCACAGTTTCCTTGGTCCTTGACGTCACCGATGACATTTGAACAACTGACGAAATACTGACGTGCATCGAATTCTCTTGGTATATCTGTTTTGTAACTGTTATCCACAGTCTTTCTAGTTATCGACCAGTTGTCGTAGATTGTTTTTTGAACCAATTTCCGAGCTCTAGACGGGAAAATCTAAAAAAAAAATCCATTGTAAATCAAATACTAAATCGAGTGAAATGCAATACATTTTGGAAACGGATATAATATAACACGATGTATAACTGTATAACGTTGGGTACCTACTGGGTTAGGCGAGGTATATTATGCCACCTACTGTTACCGCCACGGTAACCACGATAGTTGGTGGTTCACCAGTGCGATATAGTATTGCGAAAACGGTCAAAATATTTATCAGCAGAATCTACCCCCATTTTACCTCGATCGTAGTGCGAACACGTTTTAGACAAATACTATGTACTTTAACATACTTGACGTATAAACCGGATGGATTTTATTGAAATTCAATACGCGTACGGGCTTCGACAAAAGAGTTTTAAAACCACTACCGCCGACCCTTATTGTAAAGATATTTCAATGGAAATTCGCGTCATACAATATGTGCATGGAGGCTGCAAACCGTTTACGAATAATAGTCAACTGCAGGTCCACTGTGGCGATGAGTTTTTATTATTTAAAAATAATAATAATAATAATGTTTATAATAGTAATAATAATAAAGGCATTATCTACGACGTACCTCGTAAGACGATTCGGCAAAAGCCGTGTCGATTGCGGCGGCCACCCATGTGACGGATAAAACGAAAATCACGAGGGAAATAATCGAACGCATAATTTATTTCGTTGAGTGTGTCGGAGAATGCGTAAGCCCGTTACAAGTCTTCGAGATTCACAGCGATCGTATCGACGACCGTCGTCGTATATCAATAATAATTGTGAGAACGTTTCGATATGGTCTCATTTATATATATCGGCTGCAATTAAAACATAAACTGTACCGGAAAACATTGTTAAAACGATATTATATCATATTATATATTATAATAGCCTGTTATAAAGCGCGTGAGATATCTTTGGTGATTAAGTGATTTGTGTTTTATGTGACACAGTTCAAACAAAAAGAACACTTGTTTAGTAACAAGACAAGAATCAAATCCAATAATTCTTAATGAATGACGTACATTAAGTCACTTAAAACCCCCCCACTCAATTTTTTAATAATATTAACGAAAATGACAAATTACATAGATTATATTATAGTGTTATTTTGCGTGTCGTTTATAATATTTGAAATATTGCACGTTCTTTTTTTTTTGAGTAACTATAGTATTTTTGTTTTTTTTAAAATAATATACCTAATCCATTAATATGCAACTGTTGCCTTATTGGAAGGTATTAAGGTAGTTTTTAGTCTAATACACAAGTGCTTATATAATTTTTTATTTGCACAATTTATTTATTAATTGTTAAGTAGGTACTTATGTTGTTAGAACTCAAGTGTTTAAGTGTTTATCCATATCGTATTATAACACCTCGGCTAATTTATTATCACAAAACGTCATAGATAATATTATAAATTGCAATCGTTGGCTACAGACACAGACTTATTATAGGTAAGTAAATAAGTAAATAAAATAAAAATTGTATCAACAACAATATTACAGTAAGATAGGTATATGTGGTTAATTGTTTTTGTTAGCTTGACCCAGTTATTCTTATTAAAAGTAAACCGTTAAAATAAGTTAAATAGACGAAACATGTGTAAAAAATTATGAATTACAAGTGTGGTTCTTAATAGTAGGTATTATGTATTTTTTTAAATTTTTATTATGATATTTTGATTAAATACGATACAAAAGAAAATATTATTGAGGTCAAGATCGAACATTATGGCACAATAGTATATAGTATTATTGTGACTTAGAAATATTCGAATTATACCCCAATACCAAAATATTATTGTACTAAGGAGTTAACTAGGTATTAATATTATTATTAGTTGCAGCAGGATCACAAATGTCTAAAAGATAGTAATAGTAATACTATCAGTAAGTGGTATTTAGAACTATAGTTATCTTTTAAAAAAATAGTTTCTTTTGAGTAAGTTGCAGCTGGTTTTAAAAATATTCCACAATAAAAATATGTCATTCTCAGAATTAACCTCTATTATATACTTTAACATCAAGCCGTCATAAAATTAATTTAGTTAACGTGTAAAACGTAAAATGTACCTATATGAATTATTATATATGTTCTGTTTTTTTTTTTTTTTAATATCCAATAACTATTTTATTGCCCTGAATTCCACGCCTAACTCCTGGTCTATCTACCCAGTATTATAAAAAACAATATTTTGAACACAAATTACTGCTGTAAAATTAATGGTAAATACTAAATACATACTGTAAAACATATTGTATACATCCGTTTCCCTCCGTATAATAACTTTACCTTGGCTATATATAGTACAGTTATATATTATACATGCGTTCACCATTATTTTTAACCAGGGATGAGTGTATTATTCTGAGATAGAAGGATGTCTTTATGTCTGTGGTACATATACGCCTTGTCAACCCTGAAATTCTAATTTTTTGTGAATATGTTTATAATTTTAAGATGATAGACTAAATCTCTAAAATTTTAGTGTTACAGTTAAATTTCAATACTATACCTAGGTACATTTACGTTTTTGTTGGTACACTCATTTTTTTTTATCGATTATTAAAAAAAACCTACATTTGTACACTTAATTAAAGATTGATTTCTAAATGAATGTTATAAATGTCAATACTTTTTGAATCAAAAGATTATTGAAAAATGTCAAATTGATAATAATTTCATTTTATTAGATTGACGTATACGCAGGCACTATACTGTGAAGTAAGTCTTATGTGTACCACAGTACATACCTACTTTTGCAATTTCATGTACCAATGTTTAGACATCATAAATTTAACTCAAAACTACATCTTATTTTCATAGCATCATTATATTTTTAAACAGTTATGAAGTATTAGTGATTTGATACATTGCATTTCTGACCTGTTGCTATTATCGTATAATAAAACATTTAATTTTATTATTACTATTTTTTATCCAAACAATACCGCATATTATACCTAATGGTTGTCTGGACAGTTGAAAAAGATCTATTCGCGTTTGGAATGTGATAAAAAAAAAGTCGTGTTGAAATACCTATTGTAGCTTTATACCTACGTATAACGTACTTAACACGATTAGGCACCAGCTATATTACTATTTCGCCGCTGTGGCCGACGATAATAATATTATATAGTAACAGTTGTTTTTTTTTTTCAGTAACAATATATCCACTGTATACAGGTACGCGGTGAAAGACATTAACCAGAAATAAATAGTAATTAGATTTTACGAGTACGTTTCATTTTTGACAGAATTAATGATTCCAATGAGCGCAGTTGATGTTGATTGATTCAACGGGGAACTTCATTAAAAACTATGCGGATACCTGCCGAGCTGACAATGACTGGCCGCCTTTAAAAAAAAAATAAAATAAAAATGTATACGTATATATATTAAAAATAAAATAAAATAAAACAAAAATAGTCACGAGAAAGAAATTACAAAAAGGAATACAATTAATTAATAAAATAATAATAATAATCAGAAAATATTGTGTTCGTGTTGATTAAAAAATGGGCTACGCGCATTCGATTGTTCTCCGTCGTGGATGACGACATTCATCGGCGGGACATCTTTTTATTAGCTTTTATTAAAATAGTAATATTAAGATGGATGGAAAAAAACGATTTCCGTTCGAAAGCCATCTGCCCTCAGTGTTTCTCCTGACACACCGTTTTTAATTGTTCCGGAAAAAAAAACCATTTGTTTTATACCACGGTAAAAAATATGATACTACGCGTACCTACGCATAATAAAATATTATGTATATCATATTATTAGGTTTAGTGTGCAATCGGACCCCCATCCGTTCTACACGTTTTGTACCGGATGACTTACCAATATGTACTAATGCGTACCTCTATAATACCTATGTGGACGGTTTTTTTCCCCTATTTGGTATATTATGAATTTCTTATTTTTATTCAAAAGTATTTCACTTAAATACAATATACCGTCCACCTCCGCAGAGACATTTGCACGTATAATATGTTACCGAAATTATTTGTTAAAACAACGCACGCTATAGAAACATTAAAAACGAATTTAAATTTTATATTAAAATAGAATATAAATGGGTGGAAAATGTACGTTTTTACAATAAATTATTAATGAGTTCTGGGTGATTAGTATTTAATAGATGATGTGCGTTGATCGTCGATGGACCTTGTAATTTATTTTGATATACGAAATTGAATTTTAAACTATTTGTAAACACAATATAATACAATATGGTGTATTTCATACTGAGAACTACGTGTTGTTTATTTGCAAAGGTAAATTATATTACTTAACTTTAACAAACAATGCGTTATTGTAACAACAATATTCTAATATTATGCTCTCATGAAATTACAATAATGTAATATCCCATGCTAGTATACACACATTATTGTCGTATTAACAGTAAGATTATAGATATTTTTTTTATATATTGTAATAACAATGGATATTATGTCTTTCAATCTAAATTAAATAAAAGAAATGTAAACAGATAATGTGGGTAAACCTACTGTTGGATGGCCAATCGAAAACCGTAAGCCTATAGATAATATTATAATAATATTGTGCACGATACATAACTGCGTTTGAAATTAAAAAAATGTTTTTTATAAGGTTTACTATGATTTTTTTCAAACTCAATTATTATATGATTGGCGTATATAAGTTCAAAGAATAATAAATTATCGATTTAAACATCTAAAAAGTGCATTATATTTTGGTTCGTCTTCTGAAAGAAAACAATTATAATAATCGATTGAAATGCCTACAGTAAATATGTTCAAATTTAATTATAGGTATAGGTACCACACATATTTAATCTTTATCGTACACCAATGAAACTGTGATAAAAAACAAATTCAAATCTCAGACAAATGTAGGTATATTATTATATTTTGATTTGTAGCAAATAATGTTGTATTTGGTTCCATCCAAACAAATCAGTTAATTTCAATTCTTTTATACTTTTATCTTATAATGATATCTTGTGATACAGCATAATATATAATATTATAATGTATTGATGGAACACATGATCTATTATGTTTAATTTATGTTGTTGTGATAATGACATATTATATACCTAATAAATATATTATAAGCCTCTAAAGACCAGACCAGTTTCCTGTGGTAATTTATCATGTTTGTCATGTTATTATATATTTATCGTGGAGTATACAGTTTGCACTGACCGACCATATATGTGTCAACTATATAATATAATATGAAACACAAATTTAAATTGCTTCCTTGATTTTGAAGGAATAGATTTGTTTTTTTCTCAACCGATTTTACAATTAAATATCGCGTTACTAAAATATATTGATTGGGTTATACTACGCTATACTGTACCTTTACACAGCGACAAATGCTGAAAAATACTTATAATAATACTCGTCCTGATAGTAGTATAACAATATCTTATGGTACAGTAGTATTTGTAGTATTATGCATAAATCGAATAGTAACAGCCAAGTCATGTTGGCTACGATAAGCCTATATAGGGTGATTCAATATCGCCTAATTCAACGCTCGCCTTTATTCGATTCTTTCGTTATACATCATATTATAGGAAGGTAATATATGAACAGTGGTGTAGCTAGAAATTGGAGGGGTTAGAGGGGGCGGGGGTTCAATAAACTTGGTAATTATACTAAATTTTTTACA